TTTATGACAAGGGAGAATTTCCAACAAGTGCAAAAATTTTAGCAGCATTGCGAGAAAAAACTGATTACCGGGGGTCGAAATCATCAGTAAAAATCTGTACGTGCTGTGCCGTACTGAACCGAATAACGTTGTGCAGAGACGTGGCGAGTCTAACCAAACTGTGTCGGTTCATGCCGGGCCGCGCTCTAGAAAAAGCATGGATTACCTTTAATGATATTATTAATATTATTACTAACTATATTATTATAACAATCAAGTAGTATATTATATCACCGCGATCATGTGTTTTTCTTAACCTTTTGATTTTACTCGCATGTATAGTATAACTATAAGTTCTCTTATTAGTATCGAGAATCATGGAAAAGAGGGGTTAATTAGCACATACATAATTAATACATATTATAGGAGGTGTATGATAATAATAAAACATTTTATAAGTATGTTAAAATATTAAGATTTATTATATTAATATATACATATATACATTATATAATTGTTTATTTTTAATTACACTATACATTAGACATTTATTATTATTATATTTTACAATTGTATATTTTATTTTTATTTAAACAATACATTAGACATTTATTATTATTTACATTTTATACGGAGATATTAATTGCGTAGCGCGTAATGGCCGTAAGCGTGTGTACGTATCCGATCGTCGTCGACAACGCGTTTGTCATCAAAACGATTAAGAGTCATTTTCATGGTCTTAATCGTTTTGACGCGGTGCTCGAACAATCGGATCGAAACGTTTTGCCTATACGGTGTGTACGGTGTGTACGGAGGTAGTGGTGTTGGAGTGAATTCCACACCAGCAATAGCGGCGGCGGTGGTAGCGGCGGCGGCATTCTCGTGGATCGTGGTGATAACCGATCGGGCCATCAGACGAGCACGCCGTTTCAGCTCCTCTACCTTTAGCGTTGTGTCATCGTCAAAATCGTCCTCCATGTAGTCGTCGCCATCATCTTCACCCACCTCCTCACTCTCGGCACCATCCACCGCGTTCTCGCCGTCGACCTCGAATAGACAACGCTTGTGGTCTTCGAACGTCATATGATTTCGGACCACATGCCCTCGAATCCCCTTGGCCACGAGTTTTTCACCCCCTTCGATTTTATACGCGTAAGATTTAGCCCGGAGTGCTATAAACTCGTGCATAGTTCGGCCAGCTGTCTCGTCCTTGAACATTCCGGGGATCTTCTTACGCGTACCAGTGTAGCAGGGGTGTGTGGCGGGGAGATTCGAGGTGTCCATCCGCTCGAGTAGCGCGGGGTTGTCGAGCAGGTCCTTATAGAAATCATCCGTGTGTATTCGATAGATCARGGAATCTATGATAAAGACATTATGTACGTTAGATATTATATGAGTGTAGAAAAAATTATTATTTATTATTTCGTAAATACCTGTATCCATATACAACAGTCTAATTGAATCGTTATAGTGCCGCCGCATCACGTTGTAATGGTAGTCATACATCAACTCCTTACTTATTTCTAGCATTAAATAGGTTTGGAGAAATGTATGTCACTCATTTGCAAGGATACGGCGGCCAGATTCTCGGTGTATGTGGTAACGTGTTTGAAGGTGGGTTTATTTATGAGTTTACGCATTCGTCGGGGACAGGACACCAATTCTATGGAAATACGATTCCTAACGCATTCCATAGTTTTCCCTGAAAATGCATATAATATTATAGTATACAATGATAGTGTGTGTGTAATGACAGACTAATATTAATAATAAATCGTTGAGATATTCACCGAACACAGCGTTGTTCAGTAGTTTAAAGAAATCACGTTCAAATGTGTTGTCGGCCTTCTTTCTCATCTCCGTATTAAGATCGATATATTTGGCAAGCCATCCCGACTGTTGGAATTCCAACACCCTATGGACCTATAATTTTCGTGAGGTTAATATTAAATGTTTTTTAGGTGAAAACATATAATATAATATTATTATACCTTTTCCACAATCAGACCATTAGCGATGGCCTGCTTTAAATTTCTATAGTGAACTATATAACGTTCTTTCCGCTCCAACGTAGCCATTAACTTGTTCACCTTAGAACCCGGGGGTACAGCGTTCCGTGGTAGGAAGGGGAGATCGTTATGTAGGTCATGCAGCTCTTTCGGATATGTCACATCCACCTCATACACTACCACATGTTGTCGTATCTCCTTTGCTTCGATTTATGCTGGGACGCTACACGAGGTAGGAAGGGGAGATCGTTGTGCGCATCGTGTAGGCCGTCGGGGTAGGTGATGTCGACCTCGTAGATACGCCCAACGTCGGATTTGTCGGTCATACCATCCAACAGCTCTAGAGAGCGATCCAAATCCCCCTCATACCACTTGAACCCCCCGTAGGGCATGTACTCTCCCATGGCGTACCCGTACAAGTTGTTACCTGCAAGAATAGGTTTAAAGTTAGTAATATAATTAATAATTGTATAAGCGTTGTATATATTTACAATCCTGATAGACGAGCCACGACGGCGGCTTATCATCATCATACCCCGGCGTCTTAGGATTATTGGCCCGGCAGTACCGCTCACTGGCCTGCACTAACCCCCTCTGATACCCTGTTCCAAGAACAGGACCATATCGTAATCGGTCAACAACTCTAGTTTAAYACCAGTATACCGCAACATGGCGTCGAATGTAAACCCCGGCGCCGTATAATAAATAATAATACACAGGGTCGAGGTTGTACGTCTACATACAGAGGTCGCGGAAGTTCTCCATGACGTCGGCCAGAAGGAGAACGTCCACCTTCAGGTAGAGGTCGCTGTAGTCACCGAGGGTCTTACAATTGAAATGACGCCACACCTCCGTTGCGTGTACGTAGTCCACGTCGGTCACATGCTTTTCGAGTAGCACACTATAGAAGTCATGTTTCGGCGGTAGGGCGGTCTCCTCGAGCCTCGACCATTTGTCGGTATACTCGTAAGGAAACACGCCCTTTCGCGTGACGAGTGGCATGTCGGTGGGTCGGAACACCTTGGCGGTCTCGCGGAACTTCTCAAACTCACCGGGCTTCGTGACGAGGTTCCCAGCCAACTCGGCCAGACTCGAGATCATGAACCGGCAAGAGTCCAAGAACCTCACACTGAAGTCGGGCATGACACGCTTCGAGAACGAGATGTAATTTTCCTCACTGTTGGGGATTACCGTTATCGACTCTTTATCGTAACCGAGTTCGGTCACGATAAAATGTGCGTCATATTTCGAGAGGTTGTGCAGGAAGCACGGGACAAACTTGGGTGTGACGAGCTTGAGGTTGCACGGGGCGCAGAGTGTATGCCTTAACCGTCCCGACAGATGACAGTGGTCGGCGACTTTACACCTGGCCTCGGTGAACGCTAACCCACACATATCACACACACTCTTCACGTTATGCGCACGCATTTCCTCCACACTCATCGAAATCGGCACATTAGTCGCCTTCAACAGGTTCCCCAACCTGGTGGCGAGCGCGGTCACACTGGCGACAAAGTGTTTAGCCACCTCGTCACGCGATTCCGACCCGCGATATATTACAGGTGTCTGTGGTATATCGTATTTCTCCATAATCGCTACGGGTACGTCCGCTGCCGCCTTAACAAAGTATCCGTAGCTCATCGGATGGTGTGTGTGAATCCCGTCAGTGCTTGCCCCCACCCGCTCCGTCTGTTTTTCTAGGAGGGCTTCAAAATCCGCGTATATCGCAAACGGATGACGCTGCATGCTAGCCCACCCGTTAAACTTAAGTACCTCCCCCTCCTCCGGCATAACAGGTAGAATAGGTTTATTAGGCCCGCATAATCTCATATGTTGTCGGAGAGCCTCATTACCACGCAATTTATTTTTTTTCACCTGTTCATCGAACGAGGTGAAACACCGTTTACAGATAAAAAGCCGATTGGTGTGAGATGTTTTCTGGCTTCGTACCAGCCGGGAAAAATGTGAGATATACGTATAATGCATCCGCTCTGAGCCCTCAATTACAAGCAGGTCCAAATGTTCGGCCTTCTCGTTTTCAACAACCCTGATCGGATACACTACACTCTCAATACCGACTTTTCCCCCCTTACCACCCTTTCCCCCTTTAGCCACCTTACCCACCTTACCAGATTTCAATCCGTATACATTTACCGATACCCCCCTATTCCGTCGTTCAAATATACAGATTTCCGATATTGGTGTCGGGGAGGATAGTTCGGAAAAATCGTACCGATGCTCCTCATTATAATAATTTTGTCCTACACGACTATGGTGGATTACTGGAACGTGTTTGACTAGAATAGCCCACTTGAAACAATCGTCATCAATATTCATAGGATTGATGACGGCCTTTTTCCGCATAATGTTTTCCGGGAGTGGAATATACGATGACCCTCCAAGAGGGGTATGYTCATAGATACCTAACAGCAAGCCATCGATAATGGATAGGGTGAAGCCCGACCCCTTTTTAATATATCTATCATCTAGAGAAATAATAATATTATAGAATCGAAGATTATTCTTATGACTTATACTATATTATTATATCTATAATAAATGCTAATATTCAGTTATTTATTATTCCTTTATATTTAACATTATTCACTAGATAATTTTAATTGTTGTTTTGAATATTATACTATTTTATAGAAATGTATGTTGGTGATTAATTCTCGATTGTGTTAATAATAATATTAACTATGAAATATTCATTTAAATAATTAAATAAACTTATGATATTATTATTATTGTATACTATATAATAATATTTAATTATTTAGTATTCCTCTATATTTACTATTATTAACTATATAATTTTATATTCATTTAAAATTATACTATTTTATAGAAACGTATGTCAGTGAATAATTTTCGATTGTTAATATTAACTTTGATATGTTCCTTAAAAACTAAATAAACTTATGATATTATTATCATTATTATATACAATATAATGATATTCAATTATTTACTATTTCTTTATATTTAATATTATTCGTTATACTATTTTATATGAATATAATATAATATTATATTATATTATTTTATAGAAATGTATGTTAGTGAATAATGTATCCTTAATTATTAATATAAACTAAAAATGATATTATTATATACTAATATTCTGAATATTCAATTATTTACTATTCCTATAGGTATACTTTTATATCTATATAATATTATACTATTTTATAAAAAAAAATAATATGTTAGTGATTATACATATTTTTAATTATTATTAAATTATATAATATTAAATATAATACATAGGTACCATGTAATTTTATTGAAATGAATGTTAATAAAATAATAATTATTTTAATTTAAGTTGGTATCGATTATTTGTTTAATGTATTTCTAACTTTATAGAAAATTCGATATTCATTATTCATAACTCATAAGTATATAATTCACTAATTTTACATCTAAATAATATTAAATAAAATACATACCATGTTTTTTCTGTATATGATCGGATAGATTATTTCGACGGGTGAAATCTTGTTTACAGTGATCGCATTGAAATTTAACCCCCTCGTGAGATTTTGCATGTCTCAGTAAATTAGACCTCACAGAGAAAACTTTTTCACAGACACCACACTTGAACATTTTTACGTAATGGACACTGAACGGGGGGCAATAGTAAACTGTAGACTGTTTTCAAGAGCTTGAAGAACAGTATGACTCCTTTGAGTTAAATCAGCTCTCTTATAAATGATACATTTTCCCTCCCCACGCAGTTGTAGAATACGCGATAAAATATCTATTTTTGATATACTAAAATGAAAAGTGATGTCCTACACGTAAATTGTCTTTTTCTAATGACTTTTACAGGTTAAAAGAGAAATCATATTCAGCTAATAACAACAAGGTGTTATAGAAATGTTTGATCGTTATAATATTACTACTATAGGTGCTAGATACTATGTGAATGTATACATAGATAAGTGATTAGGAATTATCTTAATCTTAATAATTTATTTATTTGGGTGAAGGGGGGGTATGGTGAAGTACGTACGTAATACTATACGTGTATGGTGAGGTTTATATATAATTTCTACTATATAGAAGAGGGTGGGAAGGAAGGTATATACATAAATAGAGGGGTATGTATATGATAGGAATAGATAAGAGGGGGGCACGTAAGTTATAGGCATGGATGGGAGGGGGAGGGGCAAGGCCGAGCATGGATGGGAAGGGGAAAGGCCGGGCACGTTCATGATAGCATAGCATAGGCTGGGCAGGGTACCTGGATCAGCTGGATTTGCGGGGGGCCCAGAACATACTAAAACATACTATAGTGCGGCCAGCGAAACTAGAAGCTTGACTGTCACGCTCCCTAGCTGCTGTTTTTCATTAGGGCTACGAAGAATGCTTTCCCGCGTAAAATAATTTCAAACCACTTATACACTTGTTGTATAGACCTGTTTCACAGCTACTCGTACGGTACGCGCGCGTATCGTATATTCTTACGTGTGGCTATGAAACGGGCCTTTACTATAAAGACATAACATTTTATATTTTTGTAATACACATTTTTTATTTATTTATTATCACATAATCAAACATAATATAATAATACTAAATTACTAACATTTAAAATATTTACATAGTTTTCGAATTTTAAAAATAATTATAAAACTACTCATCGTCGTCGTCGTCGTCGCTCGAACTGCTGTCATCTGGATAAATTGTTAATATAATCGGCTCTAATATTTCGTCCCTCAGTCCTGCTTTATAGAAATCTTCTTCTTGAATTTTCACRCAATKTTCTCCACATTTGGCCCAATCATCAGCAGTTACCGCGTCAATTTCTTTATGGACAAGTGCCTCAACATCAGCAATTTTAAATGTTTTTAAATTGTGCCCAAATTAATTCTATGGGATTATATTGACAGTGGTAAGGTGGAAGTCTTACCACTTCATGTCCCATTTGGTTTGTCAATTGATCCAACTTATAAATTTTTCCATGTGGCATCGCAAGTTTGACTTTCGCTCGTAATTCGTCAAGAGTTTCTACGGGAGAAAAGTCTATATTTTTTTCCCGCAACCATTGTTGTACATCCGCCTTCCTACTATTTGATTTCGGGTAGTCCTCGAGTAATGCAGAATGATATGACGCGTTGTCCATAACAAAGCTGGGCTCTTCCAAGTTCATTAACATTTGCAAATACCAATTTTCAAAGATGGTAGCATTCATCTGTGAATGATAATCTTTGGTATTGCCAGAGCTACAACGAAAAATTAACTTTGCATCTTTGACAAAACCAAAGGAAGGAGACCCAGCGTGACAAATTATAAGGCGACTGCCTTTCCCTGTAGGTACTTTTAAGCCCTCTGTATTATCGTGGTTTTGCCAAATATATCCCCGAGTATGATTTTGGTTTACCCAGGTCTCGTCTAAATATACTATTGGCCGAGTATCACCATTTATACGAAGCTCGTTCATTCTACGTAAAAATTTTACGCGCGCAGCTACTATGTCCGACCGTTCCATAAGAAATTTGCGACCGTCATTACACCGTTTATACTTAAAATTCAGTTTTTTCAAAATGATTTTTACTGATGATTTCGACCCCCGGTAATCAGTTTTTTTCCGCAATGCTGCTAAAATTTTTGCACTTGTTGGAAATTCTCCCTTGTCATAAAAGCTGTGTACCACCCTTCTGACCACTTCACTGTCAAAATCGTCAAGATCAGTGAYAGGTTTGTTACGACTGTAAAGTTTTCTAGGTGATCGAAATTTTATATCGGTTGAACTTCCGACACCTAACTCTTCTTCAACACCAAGAGATATAGTTTTGCTTTCCTTACAAATTCTCTGTACAATAGACCGACTTACCCCGCAAGCATCTGCCGTACGCTCTTGACATAATCCGAAAAAACCTGCCACTTCCGGTTGGTCTTTTTTACTGGCCAACATTTTAAAATAATTGTACACGTTGTATATAGTTTTTTTGGTTTGAGAATGTATATCAGGCCGGATCGACATTTCTATTGAACAATAAATGCACAAAAATAGTGAAAAACCGCAAAAAAAAACAAAAATGTACAAATAAACAGCAAGAAATTCGTAAAAAACTCAGTTCAAATTATAACAACCAGCACACACAAAATACACGTTACACGAAGCAAAGATGTCCAGTGACTAACATAAAGGTCATACAGCAGATGGTTTAATGACAGAGGTCTGTATTAAAATCTACAGGGGTTCGGCATGCAACGGTCACACAATAGTTTACCATTATACGTTGTACCCAACGTTGTAGTGTATTGTATATTTCCCTCCAAATTGTATTTCAATTATAATACGTATCGTAAACTATAATCTCAAGACTACCTAGCAACGCATTTTACTGATTATTTACAATAGAATGAGAACCACTTTTCATGAGCC